TTGAAAGTATCGACTATTTCGTTAAACCTGGCTAAACCACTGCAGTTTAACACACGGTCGGATAACCAAGGGAGAGGAGGCGAGAGAAAATTGCACCATATCGCTGCCACCACCACCTGGTCTGGCTTCAATTATAAAACATTTACTTCAAAGGGATCCAGAATTTTAGGCAAAAGCTCTCACCCAACTTTAATCTCAATTAGGTAGCTTCCATTCCGGCCGAGGGAGGATTATATTAGTCACAGCCTCTTTCCTCTTAAAAAAAGAGTTGATTAGAAGTGGACTGAAGCACAGCGTATCGAAATGAAAGGAGACAGCCGCGCGGCGTCCTCAACTTGAACATCCCTTCCAATTACGTGCGGTTCAATGACGAGAGTCAGGCAGGGCTTAATGATATCAAGTACGACTTTCATCTTCCATTCACTCTGAAGCAGATCAAGTTGATGTGGCTCATCTCTTCCCTATGTATTCTCACATTATGTGCTCCAAAATCAAAATAAGCACAATGGAGGAGTCGCCTGTGACGCAGTTGCTGCTTCACCACCAGTGTCAGTGGGTGCTTAAATGTCAACAAAATGTTGCTACTGACGCTTTTTGACTGACTTGATATTCTCGCCGGAAATTTTGGTAAACAACTTGCCAAGCTTAATCAAATTTTATCTCTTTATTGTACCATGTCTGTAATGCTTATGGTTGTGTTTTATTTCAATTTCAATTCCAATTTATAACTTTACATAACGTTAGTACATATATATTATAATTCACAGTTATAATATCAAGTATTTCTAATGCGTGCAAAACTCTAGTCTCAAATAATGATTAAAGTTTAAGGTAGACAAAGGGGATAAAATTATTGAAGTAGTACGTAGCACCGTTCCATTGTCAAATAAGTCATTAAGGAAAAGGAGGAGTCTTAGTCAACTAATAAGAAGAACTCTTCACGAGAAGAAGGAGAACGGTTCTCCGAGAATCTAAGTGCGAGTTTGGGGAAAGTAAACTTTTATCCATCACTTTCGCATACATACCTCTTAATTCTACTCGTAATAAGTAATAATAAGTAATAGTGCAAACGCAAAGTAGCTCACATTCCACATTAAGGCGAAGATTTGTTAGTTTGAAACTTGGAATAATTTATGCTCTGTAAAGACAAAGGACTGTCTCTTCGTGCCTCATGATTTATTTGCTTTCCCAGTCAATGCTCTTAGCACGCCTTCCTACTAATTTCTTCACATGCATAGTTAGATACTAGTCGAGCGACCTGGCTTTATAGTACTCACAGCCACAAAACGATGCTTCACGTGTGCCTATGAAGGTATGTACAGTTCAGCAGCAGATTTCAAAATGTGATAGAGATCCAATATTATGGAAGGTTATACATACATGTGTACATGCTGCACAAGTTTGTGAACGCTATGCAAATGTGCTGTCATCAGAAATTCCCCAGTCGTTGAGAATGCTACAATTCGGCACTTGTCACACACTTACTATCAGACCCAATAACAGATCCAATAAGATGAAAATTTAATAAGTGCCCATCATCAAAATATGTAGACGGACTCCCGACGACGATACAGGAGAAGCGATCCAGTAAGTGCTAGCAGCCAGCAGACTGCTACGTCATAAAGAAGAAGGAAGCAAGAATCGCCACGGACCGTCCAGCCAAAAGAAAATTGCTGAGTGCGGCTCGAAGATGCCAAAAAATTCTAGTCCAAAAAGCTCATGAAAGCCATCGGAAGTTTGTGTGTGTGGTTCTCTCCCTTCCTCCATCATAAATCTCAGTCTGTTTACAGCGAAATAACGATGCCTGTACTTATTTATTTATTTAGGCAGTGTTGCAGGATGAGATGCTGTAAAAAGCTGCCGGAGAAAGGCCTTATTTAATACTAATATGGCACACAAAGAGCACTCAGTCAGTCAGCACCCATTCTACCCTCGCTTCCTGCCTGGATACTTGCACGTGTTGACTCTGATTTACTGTGTGTAAATATATATGTATGTACGTACTAAGCACTTTGAGGTTTTAGATCAGATTTGCGTTTTATGTAATCATTTGGTGTTTTCATTTAATTAAAATTGGAATTGCACCATGTGTCAACGTATTTCCTTCAACAATAGTAATGTGATGATGTTGTGGAGTGATAACATCAGCAATTTATTTTGCTACACACGCATGCCCCTCGCCATCGCAATCTAGCACGGCATTTACTTTTACTTTCGTATATAGTTAAACTCCAGCCAAGTAATATGTACATATTCTTAAGAAGAGTCGTGATATTTGCATTGGACAACCTGGCAGAGAGTTGGTGGTGCAGCAGGGCGAAGACTAACCACGTTGGCGTTGGCAGATATTTATTATCAAAATCCGCAGTAATGTCTTTCTCTCCCTTTATCAAACTGTCGACTTGCGTCGTAGCTTTTTATTTTGCCGACGGATGTTATTGGAAAAACTTTCCAAAACACTGTGTTTTTTCGGAAATGGCTTTTTCTTTCTGTTTACTTTGTTTACAAGAAAGAAATTTCGTTATCGTTCTATAACTGTTGGACAGAGAACCACTCTTTATTTAAACTCCATTTCCTCTGATAAATTTTTATATCCGGACCGGAAAAAAGTAAAAATTCATAGAATCAATTTCATTCTTATTGCCTTTTACTTCCTAGAACATGTATATTACTACGTATACCTTAAATGTACAATTTTAGGTTTCGAAGAATGTTATGATAATGTTAAGGTGTTCAACTAACATGACTTAAAAAATCTACCAACTCGAATAAAAAAAATATGAAGAGGAAACCAGCTGCCTGATGCAATTTGTCCAAGTCCAGTCGTTCGCTTGGTTTATTAATGTTCTTTTCGACTCTGCAACATCCATGGCAAGTTTTCATTGTTCTGTCTGCACTATTTGGTGTTGTGGTTTGTTTGTTGATTTAAGGAACATTGCCAGTCCAACCAACACCGGGCTACTTTCTCTTTCAACATAGTGAACTAGTTTACAAAGTGAGAAACAAAGACCAGTTTTGTTCAAATAAATCATTCAGTGATCCACATCATTTCCTTCGCCACCACCACGAAATACTAATCATATCGATACGTTTGTCCTCCCTGAACTGGAAAATAAGTACTCGCAGAAAGCTAAGCATGATCGAAGTTCAATAGTTCAAATGGGTAAAAACTTTATGTTTTGGGATATTTGTGCTGGTGAGTGAACACAACGTCAAACGAATTGTGAAACAGTTGGCAAAGATTTTACGCCACATCAACTCTAAAAGTGTTTTCGACGTAGTAAATAAAACGCAAACCCCATCGTCTCAACCCAATTTTATACATACCGATATATAAAGGAATTTTGTGGACGACTAGACTGGGCAAGAGTATAAATATGCCCATCGATGGTTGTGTGCTTATGGTGTATACTTGGATGATTCCTGCGTCTGTCCAACTTTAGTTGAAAATGATGAACTTTCTCCCCATCAACAGGTATGTATGGAGGAGGTGCAGTGGTTTGACGGCGCGTTAAGAATACAAACTTATGATTGTGATCATTGACACCAACTTTGACGCAATAAATCGCATCTCTGTCATGCTTGTCAGGTTCGTAAATTTCGATGCTCATCGTAGCCCACGAACAACTCAACAGTTCCAGTTTCTCTCCTCATCTATCCATATAACACGCCCCAGGATAAATTTGAATTTGCGCCAACCATGGTCTAAATTATAATAGTATAGTCTTATCAACGTAATATGTGCTAGAATAGAATATTGAGACAATTGTGTTCAAGCCCATTATCTATTATGACTTGTCTCATTACCTTGTTGATAAGCTTAAACAGTAGGATCACCTGTCCCATCAACTTAAAGGAGCGAGAAAAGGGAGAAAAGTACATGTCTATTCAGACCCTACGAAGGTTTGAACCATGGAGCCCCCCACATTGTAAATCAACCCACTGTTGAATTATTTGACAGTAATTAATATCCAAGGATGGGAGAAAGGGCGGATGTTGCTTTGTCCATAGATTTGAATTACAAGAAATATGAGTCCAGCTGAATGTTGGGTATGAATATTGAAACAGCATCCCCTTCGCCTCCCATGCCTTCCTCTCAACGAATCCCGTACTGTTTTCCGCAACTTTCTCTTCTCACCGTACAAGTCGTAAAAAAGTGCTCAACTTCTCATAAAACCAGTTCTCCGTTTTCATAGAATAAAACCGAATCTCGTAAACATCTCGTCCATAGTTTTATTTGTTTCCGTATAAAATCTCTCGCACTTTCATATTAACTCGGATACACAACATATGCGTATGTGCAGAGGGAGAAAGTACATGGGCCGATGAACCTGAGTCTCTACTTGTACATCTGAATTTTGCATAATATTCCACTATAAATTTATATTCTGATTTGATTCCTGATGTTGGTTGATGTAAACTTGCCTGACAGAAATATTCCATTATTTCCGTCCAACCGCCTGACAGAAAATCCAAATTTAGATCAGACTAAACAAATGCTTTTATTTCTTTCCGTCCTCGTTTTATTCAGTGACAAATATGTGGTGCATATATGTGGTGCTCGAAAGAATGCATGCATTTATGACATATCTCTTCCAAACTCATTACTAGCTGAGCAGTAGCAGCGGTGAGAGAAATGTCCGTTTCAAACGAGGAAGTGAAAAGATATAAAACAATGCGTGAGCTCTTCTGTATCCGATATGTACTTGAACTGCGGTTTTCTCATTAACGATAAGTTCGTGACTTTGTCTCATCTCGAGAGTCGGATTCAGTTGTATGCATGTGCAGATTAGCCACCCTCACTCATCCCACAATACCAAGTCTCACTACTACATGGTGAGATTTGGTAGTTCCTGTTATCAAACCTCACTTTGCCTCCACACTTCTCGATATGCAAAGTAAAACTTTGTTAATAACGACGAAGGAGTGAGTGAACGAACGAATGAACAAACGCGTCGAGTAATAAAGTGGAGAAAACGTGTAAAATGCGAGTGTAATACCTGCGGCATAGCCTTCACTGGCATGATTGTCCTTGTTCAAATTCTTCTCCCTCAGCATCTGCAGTTGTTGGGCTTTTAATGAAATGGCTGTAGTCTTGGTGGCAGTGGACGACTTTGCCACCGGATTAGCAGTGGCTTCCACTACGTTGCTGCCCATGTTGCTATTATTTGGAGTCGTGACTGCATTGACCACATCGCAATTACGCGTGAGGATGAGAGAAATAACCAGTAAACTTGTAATTGTTGGATGGCTTCCCAGCCACAACTTCCATTTATAGCGCTTCATCATTGGTTTATGTGCGATACGATGCGATTCAAGTCCTTATTTTCCGAGCGAGAAAAAGTACATGTATAATTTTACAGCACCACACTTGAAACTGCTATCGCCACTCTTCCGATTGAACAGTATTGGGTTTATTGGTTGGGTAAATACCCAAAGTTTTAGTCATAACGGTTCAACTATAAGCAAGTGGTTATTGCACAATCTAGAAGAACTCGTTGCTTGCCAAAGCAGCTTTTTCGATTGGTGTTTGCTGTGATTATGAGTGTCTGAAAACGATGAAAGTTTAGAGAGAGAGTGCAAACAGGGAGTAAAAGTAGTTTGCTGGTTGGTATCTGCTCTACTCGAGACCTGTGGACAGACTGAGATCCAACTCGCACTCTTGCCAGACTACTTTCTCTCACTCGCTTTTTGCTGCTACTGCTCAAACAGAGTGAAAGTGCTTTGATTCTTCAGACTCTTCTCGAACTCTCCACTTTCCCAATGGAGCTCGGCAAAATAAAGCAATGCCCAAAATCCCTGAGAGTACGAGTAAGAGGGATTGTTAATTTAGGGTGTCCCAACTTTATAAAAAAAATCGCTTTTTCCGCTCACGATTTTTCGCTCTTTTTGTAAACCGCACTGCGCATGCGATTCCGATCTTTTTTCCGCTTTTTCTGCTCAAAAATAAAATCTACTTTAAGATGATTTTTTCGCTCTTTTTACTACTTTGAGTGAAAAATCAGTCTCTCAGAGACATGTTTAAGGGGACATCACGCGATTTTGATGCTCTATGGATATGTTGTAATAGCAAATGATTGTATGGAAAGTGAATGAGGATTTTACTCCATGGCCCTACCTGCGCCCGCCACACCCCCTGAAAAGCATTGCAACCACTAAAACTACCGCATTCAAACCTTTGCCAAAAATCCTATTTTCATCCCATTTTGGTAATTTTTGGATTTACATGATCTTAGATAGTTGTTTTATCATATCCAACATGAAGCAAATTTAAATTTTAAAAGAAACTCGAAAGTTTCCTGACCACCCATTCTCTCCTCCTGAGTATTCAAGCGATAAAAAATCGGGACAGTCAAGTATTGAGCGAAAAAAGCGGATTTCAGATTTTTTAGCTTTTCGCTTTTTTAGATCTTTTTTACAAACTTGGGAGACCCTTTTGTCTTACTATTTGTGTGCTCATAGCTTGGAGTGATTCCATCATATGATTCAGAAGTTATCGTTATTTTGTTGAAATCATGATGTGCTTTACGCCTTATTTAGAGTAACGCATTAATGTCGTTTTAATTTCTGTTTAATTTATTTTTCACCACGACATCAATTTATAGTATATTCTTTTCATTTTGATTTCGTTCAAAATTAATGTCATGTCAACATTTTCTTTTCACTTTCTTTTCGTTTATTTAGAGTGCAATTCGTGTCATTTTCTCTTCTGTTTCGCTTCATTTTGCAAAGTTGACATCCAGTCAACTTTTTTCGAATGAAAATAAAACAAAACACCAGATTTTGATATAAAGCGGAAATGGGTCCCAAAAAAATAGCCCTGAAAAGCGCATTCTCGCCAGAGGATGACAAACTGGCGCTCGAATCCAAGTTGGTGACCCTAGTGGAGCCCCACCGCCACATCTGGGACATCAAAGACAAGGACTACAAGGTCAACACGATGCGACAAAATACTTTTACTAGTATTGGAGAGCAGCTTGGAAAACCTGGTAGGTTGAATTTATCATAAAGTTTCTGATAATTATTAACTGCACCTCAACACAGGTGACGTGTGTATGGCACTTTGGGAAAGTTTGAGGTCCCAGTACTTGGCCGCGAGACGAGCTCTTCCAACGGGAAGTGGGGCTAAAGCACGAAGTTCCTTCAGACTGTTTGATGCAATGTCCTTTATTTCAGGAGGACAAGATCAGTCTCAGTGAGATGTTTGTTGCTTATGATTCTCTTAGAATTTTTATTGATATTATACTTTCATTTAGGACCATTTGTAATCTTGATGGTGATGAGGACGAGACAGAGCATGCAGATGACGAATTCTCAACAATAAACTTCGCTGACTTGAACGATGACAACATTGACACTTCCGTTGTCCCAAATCAAACTCAAAACTCTGTGCCAGAGTCTAATCCTCGCCCGAGATCCCATGCTAAATTCGGAGGGGTGCGTATATTACTTCTATTACGTGGTTTTTATGCATGTAAACTTATATTTTTCTGGTGCTGTGTCTAGAAGAGGAAGCTGGACAGTCTGGAGGAACAAATGCTTAATTTTATCAAGGGAGGTGACTCGAAGGATGACGAATTTGAGCGATTTGGGAAGACCATAGCTGCAAAACTTCGCAAAATTCACGAGAGAGATCCCAAAGCTGCTGCGACCTGCGAATACGAGCTTCATGGGGTGTTGCACAAAACAGAACTCAATATTTTGTAATCACAATCACTATATATTTAACTATATTTAATACGTTGTTAGTTTATTTTGCATGTCCAAAATTTGAATTTGTATTTTATTTCGTGAAATAAAAACTGTTCAAAATAATTCACAAATCAATACACTCAAAAAGATTATAACACAATGTAATACAACATAGTAGAAAATCATCTACCTCCCGCGTCGACATGATGATCTTGCCAGCTCAACCTTCCATCCTCACTATTAAAGTAGTCCCGGAAGTGATTTCTGACCTGAGCTGAATACTGGGTGTAGTTGTTGGTGCCTTGCCTTGGTATTTGTATCATGCCGTTATCATTCTGAACAGTATCACGCCAGTTCCCATGCTGAACTCTTCCATCCTCAAACCGATCAGGAGTAATGTTGTTAAAGTCCTTCTTATTCATTAGATAATTGTGTAAAATTACGGCTGACAACGTAATTTGCTTCACGAGGTCCACATCTGCTTCAATCACCGAATGGAAAATCCTCCATCGTGCAGCCATTATTCCAAAGGAATTTTCAACGGTCATCCGAGCTCTTGAAAGCCTATAGTTGAAGACTCGGTCCGTCTTTTGCAGGAAGTTTCCTTTATAAGGCTTGAGCAGGTTATGGCGTTGGGGAAAAGCGTCATCTCCCAAAAAAACATAAGGTAGAGGAGTACCAGTACTTGACAGGGGTTGGGGCGACGGAAGACTGAAAGTGTCGTCGGAAATCTTCTGTCCAATTAGGGATTTTGATAAAATTCCTCCATCGGACTCAGATCCGTACGAGCCAATATCAACGGCTGTAAATTTGAAATCTGCATCTGACAGAGCCATCAAGACGATTGAAAAATAGGTCTTGTAATTATAGTAAAGTGATCCCGATGCCGAAGGACACTTGATTCGGATGTGTTTTCCATCCAGTGATCCACAAGCATGGGGAAAATTCCATTTTGACCTGAATTGGTTTTCATTGTTTATCCAAGTAGATGTGGTGGGGGTGGGTAAGTAGTCTGACTTCAGTGCACGGTTAATGGCTTCAAGGGTTTCTCTAATTATTCCACACACAGACGAAGGAGACACTCGGAAGCTCATTGCGAGAGAAATTTGAGAGTTTCCAGTGGCGAGGTACCTGCATGAATATCATTTTTATTTAGTATTAATACTTGACATTATCATAAATTCTGTGCGGATATTTTTTATTCAATACCTCAGGGTTATTGCCAGTCTCTGGAGAGGTGAAATGGGGCGAATGTGATTGTGCGGGTGCGTTATCATTGGGGTCACCAAGTCCAAAATCGTATCAAAATTTTCTTTACTCATCCTGTTATTATAATGCGAAAGTACGGGTAATGGTGGTGGCGATATAATATGCATATTGCCTAGTTTACCTAAAATACCGGAAATGGTAATAAGGGTCATCTCGAAGATCCATGACCAACTGCTGTTCGCCGTCATTGTCACGCTTCAGAAATATGGGACGAATGTAAACTGATCTCTGCTTTCTCTTCAGTCGCCGTCGCAGACGTTGAACAATAAGAATTTTGATAATGGTAGTTCGATCCATGATTAGCAGGATGAATTAGATGGAAATATGTAGAGTAATTTGCAATTTTTCATGTTTGGCCGGGATTATTTTTTTGTCAATTTATAGTGTTTAGTTTTACGTTGTCGTGAAAATTAAAAGAAAGAGAGATGAAAATTTTTTAAATATTCATCTTGTACTATAAATTAGCATGATGAAAAATAAATCAAAACATAAATAAAATGTTAAAAAACATAAACAGAAAATAATACTCTAAATAAGGCGTCACACAATTTGTCATAATTTTGTACCAGAAAATAAAATAAAATAGTTTTTTTAAGGTCTTACTGTGTGCAAACCATACATTCTTTATTACATTAATTCCTTTTGTTCTGAGATTAATATACATCTTGAAGCGTCGTTTATATTATTACACTGAAACTATTGAGTGAGATTTACAATTGGAATGACTGACTGAGCAAGCAAGCAGTGTAATAATTTTTAATAATAATACTAATAATAATGACAATAAGTACAAAATTAAAATATTTAGGACCAATACAATACTGTGTCGTCAATGCTATTACCTATATCAGGTTTACATCATCATGACTAGATTCAATATCTAAGTACGGTAATTTAAAGACCAACTCAACCCTTGTGCATCTCGTCTTGGAATAATTTCTTGTCCGTTGTATCATCGTCTCCGATATTTGTATCGTCGTAAACAACAATCGGGCCTTGTTCAATTCCAGACATCAATACCTGAAAATGATATTAACATAGTGTGAATATTCGTGTTTAAAGGTACAAATATCTGCATTTTTAATTAGAATAACCTCGTGTCCTCCTCCTGGAACCTCAGTAATCGAATAAACAACTTCATCCAGCCCATGACCAGAAGCATGGCCACAACTGGAGAGTATAGTGACTGGTTGTCCACTAACGAATTGACTATGATGAGTTTGCGATCTCATTGAAGAGTCATCCTTTATTGCAAAGCTGACGGGCAGTGATAGGGAGTTAGGGGTCATTAATGTAACCCCTCCTTGAGATGTAGAAAGAACTGTTTCCCCTTGATTCGTCACCATCAAGACGGTGTCTGGTAGATTACCATTCGATTTTTTGGATTCCAGTGCAGTTACATATGAATTCGATTGAGAAGTATTCACAGAAGTAACCGAAGAAGAACTACATGTTTCCAAAAGTTTTAGTCTCTTGAATTGAGGTGTTCCTGTACACGAACTTAGTATTGAGCCGTCAGAAATACTTAAATTCTGTTGTGAGGAAAGAATCCCACCAGGTCGAATGCCACTGGGCACAAGTCTTGCATATGTTTTGTGGATGACTGGTGTAGGAGGAGATGGTTTGCTGTTTATAGTGCTGTTGGATGCTGCTCTATGACCAATGTTCATCTGGTTTGGCGTGTTTAGCATAGATTTACAATTGGAGTCTGTACTACACGACGGTTTTTCATAACACTGGTTAAGTTTGATATCATTGACATAGCTGGAATGAAAGGTCTGCTGTTGCTGAGGTTGAGGTGCTACAAAGTAAATACACTTTAACAAGTAGTTGCATAAAATAGATTATCTAGAATGACTGGACAATGCATATAAATACCCTGGTTAGAATATCCTTGGGGGAAGATAGTTGATGCCAATTGTTCGTTCCAGACAAAATCCGACAGACCTGAACACAAAGTTAAATGTTTATATATTTTTAAAATTATACTCAAATCTCAAACCAAGAAGCTGGAATATTTTTATTGTTATTTTTATCATCTCAAAACTACCTTTCACTTTTAGTTCACTCCCGACTTTGACCAATCCTGAAAAGAAATATCATTTGTAGAGATTAAGCAATTTTGTATGGTTCATTTAATCTTACATATCCTCATGGTATAATAATTACCTGGTATTAAATTGGGTGGAATTGCTACTTCACCCTTATAAATAAAATCCAATAAAACTCGAAGTTCCATTGCTTTGACATTGTTCAGAAATATAATGGGGTGATGCACGGCTGGCGCGATCAAAGGAAATCAGAATAATTTATCGTTTTGGTACTTATAACTTTTGAAAGTTAGATTCAAACTGCCCTAATGCCTACCTGGAGTGATTTTAAACATTTCATCCAACAGCTCAGAGGCCGATGATAATACCATTCGATGTCCTTTGAAAAATTGATTTTCTGCCACCAATGTACAATCCGTGTACACTTCGTCGTTATACATGACAGAAAATGTTTTTAGAAAAGTGTCTGAATGATCTGCCCATCTGAAATGCAAATCTTTATAGTATCTCGTTTGTTTGTACTTTAAAAAATAAATGTAAATATTACACACAACTCCAAATAATTTTACCTCATTCTCACGCATGGGTCGACAAAAATTAATGGATCATGTTGGATGGACGCCTCAACAAGATGTTCTTCTTGATACTCTGAGGGCATTTCTACATATGTGAAAATATTTATTTTATTTTCATCGCCCAACAAATGATAGATTTATGAGTTATATTGACTAAATTATTATAACTAATCAGTATAGTACTTTACCTGGTGCCCTGGCTTCAGTAAATGAAGTCTTTTTAGCTTTAGATTTTTTTGGTTTCGGTTTATCCGGAGATTTCGCTTGCACTTTTGTAGAAGTAGGTGTTTCATTTCCGTACTCATCCAAAGGGTACAATGAAAGGAGATGTTTTCTTTTCAAATGTTTCAACATTGACGACGTACTATGGGAATGAGAGTATGACAGAGAGTCTCCACAACGTCGACAAGTAACCTGTACCCACAAATATACATGTATTCTAACGATCATCCAACTCTACAATTAGGTTAATTCTAATTCTAGCAAAAGATAACGTATAGCATACCCTTGTTCCATCGCCCGTAATGACAAATTCGTTCCACACTTTAGACCGTCCTCGGTTTAAACCAGTCAATCCGTTGCTTATGATAGGACTGGGACTGGACGACATGGACGTAGGTGTTTCATTCCCTCCTCCCCCATCCCTCAGGAGACCTACGCCACCATCCTCCGACGAAGGAATATCTTCACTTGAATGCCCATTGTCCATGTTCATCGATAAATCCTGTATGCATAAATATTTGATTATTACCCAGTCCTAATTAATACACCACAAAAACTACATAAATAAATACAATTAGATTCAATATTACCAAAATCACGAGAGTGACAACACCACAAGAACCAGATTGATCAGTTGACCAGATTTTTACTATTGTGAACACTATTAATATTTATTTATGGTATTATTTATTTGTTATGCCAAATTGTCAATGTTGTTTACAAGGAGCAGCAGTGGTGTGTGGCAGCTTTTCGCGCTGACAATAATCAGTGATTCAGTTGCAAAGATATCACTGCTATTGTTTCCCAGTCAGTGAGGTGATGTGAACCGCAGCAGATTTCTTCTCTTTTCTTCTCTCAGCGGATTGAGATCTCTCGGTGCTGCGAATCTCAGAATTTCGGACAATTCGTAGTGTGAGACGCAGGGAAAATACTGGGGTGTCGGTTCGGTTGGTGATGTTGCATCGGGTTCTTCCTTCCTCCTCAACTTTCCACCCTAGAAATGCCAGGCAGGGGTTCTCCCCTCTATCCAATAAAATCCCATGAAAAAATAATCTCCGGGTTTCTCCATTCGGAGTGAATAGTGCTGAACGGTGGTGGATGCTCTCAGGGTGCGGTTCGAATCGATTCTTTCCTCCGGAGGAAAAAAAGTTACGCACGCTTTTGTATTAATACACTACCCACCATGCCATGAATATGAGACAGGTTTTCTCCTCCTTTCTCCTTCTAAGGAAGCGAAAATTAATGTAGCGACATTAGTCTTCGACCATTTATTTCATCCATGCACTGATAAAATATGACAAAATAAATCCGTAATCATTGTGTAATTTGTATTATGTACATGGTTGAAATTGTAGGGAATAGCTGACTGAACATATTTCCTGTTACTGCGCGAATGCGAGACCAATTCCAAACTTGTGGCTCCCAGAGTTGAAGGTCTTCAAGTCGATGGCCGAGGAGAAGGAGAGGGTCATGCCCTTCACGACCTGGAAATCGCACCCAACGCCCAGCTCGCTTCTGTTGTTCACCTTACCTCGGAGGGTGAGAACTTGGGGGCTGAGAGCGAATTTGGTGGCAATGTCCATCTTGGGACCGTCTTCGCTATTTGGCATGCTGACCACCCCCAACTCCAAGCAGGGTGTGACTTGCTGAAAATAGCTCCCAGTAATTAGACCCCTAGAATCCACTCGTACCAACAAGTAACTGGCACCCGGGTCAAGATATCCGCAGGTTAAGCTGCTGGCAATCATTTTTCCTTCCCCGGTATCAAACTTGCATTCGCAACCCGTTACAAAGCCTATGGACATTTGTACAAAACTAATTATTGAGAGTAGTCTACATAGCTATATCTGTATTATAGTAACATGCCTCGTAGGCCGGCAACAATGCTTCCATTCAGGAACAAACTACTGCTTTCTCCTTCGCCATCAATTGAGCAATCAAGAGTGCAATTCGCTAATTTGTACTGCCCCTGAGCGTTCCAGTTTTTCACTTGAGAGTCCAAATTGTATTGGAAAACACCGCCCAGTTTCAGGCCGGGCGTCAGAATGTCTTGAAACGTAACTTCCTTACTCACGTTGTTGTTTGAGCTCCACTTGTACACACAAGAGCACAAGTGGTTGAATTTGACCAAGAGGTCAGATGTGACGCTACTGTCTTCAATGTCTTGTGATCCATTGGCGTTGAATTCCACGGCCTCGCTGGCAGAATTCTGAGTGGATATAGCGACCTTTCCAAAGTTGTAGCCAATGGAAAATAATTCCTGGAGACGTTTTGTGAGATCGACATATGATGGAAGGGACATTATGATGATAAGTAGAATATCTTTGCATCGTATACATGTGGATGAGACGGCTACAATAAATTTTTAACAGCTCGTTCGTCTTTTATTTGAGATTTTGAACGTGATAGATCATGGCAACTGAGGTGAGGTTTGTGTAGAATTACTATAATTATTGTTAAACAGTTCTATATTACTATAACAGTTCGTTGCCACCGTAAAAGAAAGTAGAAATTCACAGAAAAAGGCCACAGACAAATATCAGTAAAAGTCCCTATAATGTTACTAATTGCCCTAGTAGCTCAGAGGTCAGAGCACTTGACATGAATTCAAGGGAGCCGTGGTTCGATTCCCGGCTGGGTAACAATTTTTGGCATTATTCGGGATTTACGTATTTGATTTCTATATAATTATTGTAATTATGTATTATAGATCCCCTTGATTTAAATAATTGACAAGCAATTTGACATGTTGGTGCCATACATTTATGAGTGCAACGAGAATCTCACATTTGATTATAATGATTTTGGATTTCATAATTTAATATTTTTTAAAAGTGTTGTAATACGATCTAAGTTGTAATATTTTTTAATATTTAAATATTTTTAGCACTGTTGACTGTGTTGACAATTTCTGCATAAATTCTTTATTCACGTTGACCATCTCAGAGTTCACATTTTGCTCGTTCGTTGAGTATTTAGAAATAAAGTTTGAGATCATTCTGAATACGTACGTGTTCCTCAAAGTAGTGGTCATTTTAGACGTTATGACAAATAGTTTGTATCGATGTAATATTTACATTTTTCGAAGTTTTCGCTACCGAGCTTTTCGACCCTAAAAACAATAATAGCAATCTGTTATATTAGCTCCATAATGTATTTTCTTAGAGTAGCTGTAATTATCTAGTTGGAAAATATGACAATCAGCATTTCTCCCATAATATGTAAATTCAATTGTTGCATAAATAGTACAAAAAATGCATTGCATTTACCAAAGCTAAAGTCCGAGTCAGATCGTTGTCTCGACCTTGTCAGTCTCCTCCAAAGCTGGGCCGTCAAATCGACAAACACTTCTCTGAACCTCTCTCCATAAATACAGTAAATAATGAAGTTGAGTGAGGAGTTGAGAACCAGAAGAAATATTCCCACCGCCCCACCAATGGGCGATGGTGTCAAGGGTTTGTCCCAAGTGACCAGCTTATAGATCACACCAACTCCGACCATTAAATTGCAAGCGATGAACACAGCTACAACGATGAAGAGCATGTACGTCAAGGAATTATCGGCATCCGAAATCGATAACGATCTTCTGTTTTTGTTCGCCTCTCTGATCTACAAATTATTGCTCTCATTTTAACCCAGTCAGAATATACTTATTATATCAAAATACATACAAGTGTTATACCTTTAGATAAATTAGAAGATTGCACACGATAAGTACACAAGCTGGGATGTAGTAGTGGACAATTCCATAAGCTAAAAAGACGTAGTAATAATGGTACGTTTGGTTTTTCCTCCAATTGGTAGCTTTGAGTAAGCACCCAATACTATTTCCATTGTCGTCATACATTGTATCACACACGAAATGAAACCACCGAGGCAGGTTATACAGAATCGATATCACAAAAATAGCTGCAGACGCTTGACATGCTCTTTTCCATGTGCAAATTCTTCGAGAAATTAATGGGTGACACACGACTAGATAACGCTCGACAGTAATTGCAACAGTAAAATAGACGGATCCGGTTAATCCTAGAAAGGACAAAAATTATTATTTGACATCTGCATAGAATTTATTTATTTACATGTAGAATAGGATGAAAAAAATGTAACACAATCAAGGAGGTATACTAAAGTATGCAAAAGTCCTTTGTAAAAAGTACCTGTAGTGCTCAAACCGTATGTAAACGGTACGGTGTAGCCTATGATTAAGTAAACTGAGGTCAATCCAGGGTAACGTGGTTCGAATGAGAGGAGCGTAGGGAGCCCCAGAGTGATAAACGAGACGGCAAGAATCATTATGTCGCATATTGCAAGTCCTACGAGGAAGCAACTAATGGAGCTTCTCATTCTACGATTCAGCAACACTATGATGCTGCAAACATTCCCAATGGTTCCCAATCCAGTGATGAGAGATAACCCAACTCCTTGAAGGAGAAATTTTACCAAGTGATCAGTGTTTGTTACAGTAAACTGCGTTGAATTTTCAAGACTTGTGCCATTTGTCCACTTATCAAACGAGTACAAGTTGTACTGGAGATAAAATATAGAAAACTGAGATTCAGAGTCGAGACTTATATTTCTTACAGTTAATGCATGGTCGTCATCTATTGCGTTCATTTTCACAATGTTTTTTCACTTGGGCAGTATTATTACTTATCTAGAAATGTTGGTGGGCAAAGGTAAGTTTCAAATTAATTTCTTAGTTTTGCTAGTAGTGACCTTGCCCTTCATTGCAATACTCGAGGAATAATATCTAATTAGCAAAATGTCTGAGGAACAAATAAATATCTAATTCCTCGGTTGCTTTTTGCAGGTCTTGTGAGACGGTGACGACATTATGCACTGACTGAGGAAACTTGTACTGAAGACTGAATAAAGTTTCTCCTCACCTTTGTTGTTTAATTGTCCATACTATAAGAAGTATGTATGAACAACGCGAATAATGGGGAGATGTACATACACAGCAAAATAATGGTTTTCTTATTTGCCAGATATATATATGCATGCAGAACTATGAAATTAGTGGGATTTTACTATGAGCTGACCCACAAGCCAATCAACATTATTAGATGTTATAAAACGGATTTATTCACATTTGCAACAATGAGAAAAAACTTGGAAGCATCGCCTTCTTGAAATTCAGATAAAGCAGAACAACTATATAAATATATGACAGCTTGCATATGCTCTTGGAATATCTAGTACTGAAATTTGCTCTGACGGTAGCAACAACAAGCAGAAGAAACCGGTCATTCACGCAAACACTGCAAAATATCACATACATGATGTATGGATTTACAAGAAAACTCAATTGAGATTGGATCAGGATGATAATCCAACTAAATATGTACCTACCTACCCACATACATATTGTACGTAACACTTAATATGTATGTATGCAACTAATTGTCTCTTCACGTACTACTCCTCACATTATGTCTCATGCTGCTGCTGCCATGTACTAATGGAGATTGAAGGAGCAGGTATGATGGTCAATAAGGTAAAGGGTTATCATCATCATCCAGAATACGGAATTCATGTACAACAAAGAAGGTTGTCTCATACATAAAAGCTTACTATGAGACTTACACGAGCTGAATAATTTTATGATGCCCTCCTTTCGGGATTTCCCAACTTTTCAGTTCAATCCATTTCGAGCATTTATTCAACCAAGATCTACATTTTCCTATATTTTGCATATGCATACGATGGTCACGAACTAAACACGATCACATGTACCTGCTGCATGTGATGAACTCGGACTAAATACGACAAAGGACGCAAGTTTAATTCTTGGAACTTCATTTTTGTGTGAATCGTTGAAATGTATATGCATCCTGGTAAAAAAATAGTTTTTTAACACGCTCAGCATTAATTACCCCTAACAAAAACGGTGAACACTACATGTACTAATTATATAAATATATGATAACACTATGTAAGTAAATGTAAGTATATAATATAGTAGTATTGTAGAATGCCGTATTATGCTTAATGAAAACTATAATTTATACACCACCCAATAAAAAATGGGTTTTTGACATTGACTTTATCTCAACCTTTACATATTTATATTCCACCTTATTCACACCATAAGAAACAACATCAACCATTAAAAAGCTTGCCACATTATTCCAACGAGTAAAGGGATAGTAATGCGTAACTTTATTAGTTACATATATACATATGTAATTAATAATTGCGTATTTTTTGTTGTTGCAAGCATAATTTTACAATACCTATATTCTCTTTGCTAGATAAATATATAAGGTTATGGTTATGTAAATATATTGATTGCAATTGCGAGTATCTATATGGTACATATTTAATAAATAGAAATCGTGGTTAGAGTTGAACATGCGTACATAATTATTTAGGATTATTAAAGATATACATATTGAATGACTAATCCATCAGCTCGTCATTCACACCTTTGGTCATGCTTGTGGCAATGGTGTTGCGCAATTCAATCTCAGATTCGGATGCAACGGTATCGCTGTCATGCGAAATTGACGAAAATATTCCAGAACTGGTTTCCTCGTCCATAACCTGTCGTAGGGTGTTACTGTCATCCTTTATTGACCAATTGGAATCCCAAAATCTGCTTTCATCAGGTCCCAGTTGTGGTTGATCTATCCAGATATGACAGAGGTTTAGACTAAATATGATAACTAATACAACCTATACATTCGCAAATACCTAAATTTGTTGCCAATTCTTCTTGGTTTTCCTTTTTCGCATCGTTAACAATTGCAAGGTTAGCGAATGTGTTTTCAATTTCCGGAAAAGAAAAGTTGATCTCGTCCTTCAAAATGCGCGATATTTCCTTCATATCGGTATCCATCGAGTATAAATTATCTTCAAAATTACTCAGATCAGCAATTTTCGCTTCCAGGTCCAAGTGTTTATTAATTTCGTCATGTAGAATTGAAATTTCTTCCTTCTCTTTTTGCTGCAACTCCCGAACGCGTAACATCTTTTCTTGAAGAGAATGCTTCAGTTCCTCATTTACTAATTGGGATAGACAGTTGTCTTCAAAATCGCAAAGTTGCAGAAATTTTTCATGAAGGACGTCGTTTTTCTCTTTCTCACTGGCCAGCATTTGAAGAGCAGTTGTTTCATTTTTAGTATTTGAATCTCCGTCCCCATTTTCAAGTTTAACTGCATCTTCTTCGTGGTCTTCAAATGTCTCATTCATAAAGCTTGCAATAAAGTTGTCATAGTCTGACATGACTTGCTCAAATTTCACCAGTGAATCGTGTTGAAGAGATGTTTCTCCTGTAAGCTTGGCATCGTCAGTTTTGAGCATATTCTCATTATTATTTGCCCCTTTGTCACTAGAGCTTGTTTTATCTGAGCCAATGCTTTGTTCTTCATCATCAGAAAGAAAAGTTGGATCTTCTTCTGACCAAATATTAGCAATTCCGAGGAGCTCTGCGCCACGGGTAATAACTGCTCGAATCCCGTCACTCAAATCTGCATCAATTGGTTTAGACAGGCTTTCCTCAATCTGCGATTTCAACTCGTTCAGCTGGCCTTCAACATTTTCGTCTTTGGCATCTGGCGGATTGACATTAAAAGAAATGCAATAATCCTGTTCGAGATCTGCGTCTTTCTCCATAGCTTTGTCCCTCAATTGCTTCTCAACTTGGTTAAAAGTGGCCTCAAGTGTGTCAACCAGTCTATTTGACACTGGTTCCATTGTTTCAGGCTCATCAAACTCCATTTCCATAGTTTCACCAGCAAAGTTGAGGGACATGCCTTCTGATGCCATGGTCATGGGCTTCTCAATAGTTTGCAACGAAGCTTCGACAAGAGAAATATCTGGAATTTCTTGTAAAACCGAGTTATCATCAGCAACTGCCGTCTCGTCCTCTTTGTCCCTGTTCTCGTTATCCAATTCCTCAACGACGACGTCTAGCTCTGGATGAATCAACGTCTGAGTCTCGTTGACGTCATCGTTCGCACCCTGTCTGCACATTTTCTCAACTTCCAATTCCAATGCTGCTTTCTCCGCTTGCCTTTCATCCCTCATCTTTATTAGTGCTGTTTGATAGAGAGTTATAACCTTTTATTAATTAATATTTTGTATTAGTATTTTAAATCTTCTACCATTAACGCTGTCCGTAATTTTCTGCTGTTCTTTCTGAATCCATCGTTCCCTTTCTACTTTTTCTGCCTCTCTGCCCCCTATGGCCCTACAGTAATTTTTGGTTAATCGAGTGACCAGATGAAAAACCAAGATCTGCATAGTCCTAAAGCTTAATAATTCAGAAGTTACCACGCCTCGCAGCAAGCTCGTTCTTTGTCAAACACTGGTCGGTCATCCAAGTAGGTCATTAATTTCTGAGACAGTATTTCAATTAAATATTGACAGATATGTGTGAATCAGATAAAAAAGTTTATAAGAATGAATGCCTGACTTACACAGCTCACAATCATATTTCTTCGATAGTTATCTACAGTTCTGATGCACGGGTTTCCCATTAAATTGAGCACGTGTAAATTCTTCATTTCTTTAAACACCTGTGTAACATTCATTTAATATTAGAAACAATTACAACCTGTCCGGTTTACGTAGTTCGCATATATACGCATGCATATCTACCTCGACCACTGCAGGATCACTGAGCCGGTTGTTCGACAAGTCAACTACGGACAAATGCTCGCACATCACAAGGTGTGAAATATCTTCCACGTTTGTGAGATAATTATGAGTAATTTGTAAGGTGTTGAGTTTTGGCAAACATGCTTCAAAAATTATTAGAACGTCAGCATTATTTTATGAGATGTACAAAAATGCAGTAATCACTCACCCAAATTTTCAATCACGCTAATACCGTTGCAACTCAAATTGAGTGTATCCAAATTAATTAGATGATCCAGGTTTTCAATTCTTTTTACTAAATTCTGATGGAGATATAAACATCGAAGCTCAATTTGGTGATCTAAATTCTCAATCTTTCGAATTCCATTAGACTCCAGCCACAACGATCTCAGCCCAGAATACTCTTCCAAATTCTCAATTTTTGAAAATCCTATAAACAATTAATGCGATTGGGTCATTAATTTATTATCAATTTGAAATTCATGTAAATACCTTTGAAATGCAGATAAAGCACATCGTTGAGATACGGAGTGGAATACAGCTTCATTTGTTTGCAGTGATTTTTTAGGAAAACCTTTGTCATCCTGCATGAAATTACAATTTCAGATTACAATTTTAGTGATACTGCGTATACATACTCTCCCCCTCTTACCTGGGAGATTTCAATCCCTCATCTTGTAATCCAGTTTTGGTTTGATCACCCACTCCCCATGAATCACCATCCATTTCAAATACACAGTTTTCAAACGAATTGTAATGCAATAAATTCTGATGAATCGCACTGTCAATTGAGCAGTCAAGAAGTCTCGAAGAATACTGCATCTCGGCAAAAATGTTCTCAAAGTTTGTTTGATCGAATTGCATGCTCCACGGCAACCCTTCATAGATTATTTCGCTTCAATTTTCATTTGTAATGAAAACCATTCATCAATACATCATAGCTCCGTTAATTTGATATGCTATACATATATATAAAAAGATGTATTTCAAAATAAATGTGCTCATTGCTTTGTAGACAATATTAATCTATTAATATTTCTTCACTTAGGAGGGGAGGTTGTGTACTATCAACTCCCGGATCTCGATGCCCTTTGGATATATTGTAGTGTCCCATGAATGTACAAGAACCCTGCAGTGGTTTGATTCCATGGCCACATTTGCGCCCGCCACACCCACTCAAAGGTGCCCAAAAATCGCTTTCACTCCAGCTTTCACTCATTAAAAACCACGCCAAAAATCCAATTTTACTCCGATTTTCAAATTTCTTTCACCATTGTACTCTCAGATAGTTGCTTTCTTACATCCAATATCAAACTCAACTTTTTTGATGATTATTTCGCAGCCATAATTTGCTTTGTTGATTACTGCAACAATGCTCATTCAGAATTTTAAATTTTAAAAATACAAAAAATTTCAAAAAGTTGAGTTTGATGTTGGATATAAGAAAGCAACTATCTGGGAGTATAATGGTGAAAGAAATTTCAAAATCGGAGTTAAATTGGATTTTTGGCGTGGATTTTAATGAGTGAAAGCTGGAGTGAAAGCGATTTTTGGGCACCTTTGAGTGGGTGTGGCGGGCGCAAATGTGGCCATGGAATCAAACCACTGCAGGGTTCTTGTACATTCATGGGACACTACAATATATCCAAAGGGCATCGAGATCCGGGAGTTGATAGTACACAACCTCCCCTCCTTAGAATTAAATCATTTGTTTAAGATTTCAATCATTAAAACTATCTTCACTCATCTATTATGTAATAATAGCTATATTTACGATTCCATGCTGAGAAATTGCTTTATTGCAGCAATTTAAACAATTTAATTTAGAAAAAGCATGACAAAACGGCATACAAAGTCATAGACATTTGTTTCGTGCTTTCACTGGTTGCGGGTAGACTGCGCTGTTGGTCTAAAGGAGAAAGTTGTACTGGCGATGATGATGATTTTTATGGACTTCGTTGTAATGCGGTTCGAATGGACGATGGAACTTTCACTATTTCACGCGAGACTGCAATGAAAAACATTTTTCTCTGCAACTGAACCGGAACATTTATTGCACTTGTATGTGGAGAGGTCAGGGAGAAATTAGGTGAAAGCAGGAGGCGGAGAGTGCAGTGAGAAATCTTGTAGTAGTGCTGGTAGTAGGCCCTGGGGGAAGGGCTTCATGAATTATGCGTCCCCTGTGCCCCCTAGTCACAGAAGGACGGGATATATATCCTGCCAGCCATTTTTACGCTGAGCCAAATTAACCCGCGCCGTTATTTATCTCTCTCTCTCAAGTGAAATATCTGACTGATATAGGTTTTCAAATGCGGTTCGATCTCATGACTCCTCAGTGCTTGTTGGTTGCCAAACATTTAATAAGCTTAATTCGAACTTGAGTACATGTATACAACTCCAATCCATTTCGTTGATCATGGTTTTCTCCAACGATTCCAACCAGCCAGCCCTGCTTGCTACCAGGTATACCAAAACTAAATGGCAATTTCTAATCTGAGATGAATGGTCCATAAGTTATACATGGCTGCAGAGAAGTGCCTCTTCTCGAAGTAATTAAAACGAATTTATTCATTGAATGTACTATGTGTGCATTTAGTGTGTTAAAACACCTTCGTTTGTGAAATGTTTCGGGGACAATTGAATCAAGAGGATGTTTATTTCATTCTATTTACTTGTCCTGTTGCAAACACTTTTATCCAGCCATTTTGTTGAAGTTATTATTATATAATAATGGTAAAAGCTTAAGCTTGATCTTTTATTGTACGTGTAAAAAACTATAATTATGAGCCGACATCAAACGTCTGTTTTTCCAAATAAAACTAGATTTTATTAGATTTTACTAGATTTTACGAGAATTTATAGTTTTGAATCATAATTCAAGTAAATTCTTGAGTCAACATGAATAAATCGTATGACCTTACGAAAGAACTAAATTTAAGCATTCAGACGGGAGATTTCCTCGAAATGAATTATTTATTAGATTTGTAGCACCTTCCTTGAGAATATCAATCACTGATAATTTAAGATGTCCACCAAATCAGTCTCGTCTGTCTGGGAGTCTTAAGGATGATTAATCTCAAATCACTCAAATCAGGTCTTGGACACATCTGCATACATACATACACAGACTTAGCAAAAGGGTTGTCGCATTCAATATTCAATCAAATTTGTAAAGTTGAACTCCCGAATTCGTACTATTTTGATGTAATGATGGATTCATCTGCCTGAATTAATTCAAAGGCTTAATCATCGGAAGAGTTTGGATATAGTTTCAACTGCGAAACCTCTTTGGCGGACTTGGACCAAATGGCGAACTTACAAACCAAGACCAAGCACACATTTGGAGTGAGATTAGATCCATCCATGTCCTCGTCAGTGAGAAACAGTCTTCGTCAATATTTACTCGAGTACGTGATCATCCATCTTTCGAAGCTGGCTGTTCCTTTGATTTGGTGGCAGGATGGACCATTTCGGTTTTCATAATAGAATTCACGCCATCTGGAAAAGAGTGGTTCCCATGTTTTCAATCAATCTACATTGTGTGTGGCACAAAGATCTAGCAGCCAGACAGAATTCTCGATTGTATTAATAATAACTTTGTGCTACGTATGTACACATAATACGATACAAGATTTCTTTGATTCCAACAAGTTCACCATCACTGCCGAGTCCAAGTCCTTCATATATAAATTTCATATATAAATATGTACTGGTATGTATTTACTTATTTAGTTCACATATAGTTGAAAGTACGTGATGTATCGAGCAGAGAGGACGGTAGCCTATATCCTCAAACGTCATATTCCCAATTAAATTGGAGATGACGTTTTCTCTTATTTGAGGGACTCTGGATAAGAAGTTCGCCTGTTACTTTTACTAAAGCAGATAATGCGTTTTATCAGTGATGCCACTCGTAGGATTTCGCTGGAGAATTCGCTTTAACAAAATTTAAGTTTCGAGGATATTATGACGAAGAAGGAAAACATGTAATCAGTTTCACCCAACAGCACTGACTTCATCACTCATTTCACGGCTTTCAATTAATGACAAAACTTTTCTTTCATTTACACTTGAATGGGCACGACTTTCTCCTCCGTGGATACGTGGGCAAAATGAACCAAGTCCAAAAGACACCTTTCCCATTATCGCAAAACTCAGTTTGCCACAAAGAGTATTGGGGCGCTATTGTTAACCCTTGATTGTGTAGGAAAGACAAGGATCAGAGGCAGGATGTGTTCAAGCGGATTTGGGATCCCAGTCTTGGCCTGTCAAGGTGTTTGTCCAGCTCTGAAAGACAATGTGTGTCCTCCTCCTCCTCCTCCTTCGGTGGTGGTGGCCTTTTGGAGAAAGTGGCGAGAATGGAGCCTCGTATATTTAGATATATATATATACAACTTTCTTGTGAAACATCGTTACGTCAACCGTAAAGAAGGTGGTTCATTATTATGCTGTCATAAGTCCGTAGATGGAAAACGATGGAAATGAGGTTGCTCGTCGTTGGCGAAAGAAGCAAGTCCTAGAAATGAGAACATTAATCAATGGCCATCTACCATCTACCTGGTCTTAAAAATTGGAGGTACTGGTTAAAAGCATTCGTAGTTAGGTCACGAGTAGTCCGGATATAGAAATAGCAGCCCATGCACAGTTTATGGTCCAATGATGGATAAAGAAGCATGTTCCAAGCTGACCTTGATATTTTGGATGAAGATGAACCTTACGTAGTCGAGTAAACAGCGTGTATCTATTTTTCTGTATATCTTTCCAATTTCCACTTTCACCAGGGATTTATGACGGTGAGTGAGGAAACATACATACGTCACTCCACATACTTAGGAAATACTTACTAGGTCGAAGGAGTAGTTGTGAAAATGGAAGGTCATGTTTGATTGAGTTGAAACTTTGAAGTTAAAGCAATTCCTTTTCCACTGCGTTCTCGAACCGGTATATTTTTAGAAGATATCAGACAAGTATATCTGGAGAGGAGAGCTGATTTAGGAGTTGGAGAGTTGACTGTGAAAACAACTACTTTTCCTTACGAACTGTGTCAGACTTTATTAAAAAAGCAAACCCTTCATTTAAAGTTTACTACTCTTAAAATGAGAAACGGACGAGGTGGTAGTTTCATTTAAAGAGAAAACTGCACTACTTGTTTAACTGAACAAAAGTGCATATTAAGCTGGATGGAGTTACGAAGTTGGGAGAAATCTCATTTGTAGAATAAATGTACATAAGCTATCCTCGCGTCCTTTCATCCTTGTCATGTCCTTCCACACATTCGACAGATGTAAAGTTGAAAGCATAACGGATTTAGTAAGTGGATTCAAAAATCACGACTAGCAGTGCAGCCAATTAAGTATGAAAAGTACGTGAAAACTAGTTCGAAAACTTGATCTAAACTCACAAACACGATTTGTGATTGCTTGCTGGTACTTTTACCACTAGAAAGTCAAGGTTGTGCAATAGACAAAAGTTTTATAGGTACTTTCAGTTTCGGTACCCACTCTGAGCTTATTGACACGTGGCTTGTGACGCTGGTTTCTGAAATCCGAATTTGAGACAATGTCAAGCAGTGTCTCACACGAGCCTAGGGACGTTACCTTGGACGTTAGGTAACGTATTCATATTAAACTTTCTCCGTTAACTTAATTCCTGCTCCTGATAAGTGTATCTCATTCAGTGTTCGCCGCACATGGGGGAAAGTAAGTAAGTATCGGCCTAATGCACGACGGCAGGACTCGTGGAAGCTCATTTTAACTCTGGCGTTTTCAGTAATAATGTAATAAATTAAGGTAAGAAGCGTGAAGCATGGAGCCTGAAAATAGGCTGCACAATAACCTTGGGCAATAACCACCGCCATCAACATGGAGCAGCTCAAATTTTGCATTTGCCAGAGTCAGTCCATAATTTTGTGCAACTGGATTACAACAAGAACAAAGTCCCAGCGGATTAGAAGGGGAAGAAATTATGATCGTGTGAGGTGAGTGAAAGGAAGGACAAGTAAAGAGTTACCATCGCCTTGGGTTTCTGGGTGATTTGGAGTCTGGCCTAATCCTCCCAACAGCAATTTGCAGTCCTTTCTTAACATTTTACACTGTGCGCTTTTGTTGGCCTATTAAATTTTGCATAGCAGCTGAAAAGGGACTAATTGTGTTTTAATTTCCACCTGAATAATTTGAAAAGAAAACCAGCGAACCTTAAAATTAAAGCTTATTTGTCAATGGAATAAGGGCTTAAAACGCCCACGCTTCATATTTCAATGACTACTAATGAATAAAAAAAATATTGGCTCTAATCAATTTCATGCTGGAAACATAGTTTGTTTCCCATCACTCACGGGATTTTGGATCCAAGAAGACTACACGCATAAGAACGTATATTTATTTATTTACCGATTTATGATGCTTTGCAATCCCCTGACTATCAATTAAATATGATGTTGGTACATAACTTACGCATTTACCTATGTACACAACTTTCAGAATAATCAGTATTATGGAATAGAAACCAACCAACCATTCATTGTTTGTTCTGCCTCCTTTTCTCATTCTTTTCAGAGAGAAAAAAAGGATACGGTTGGTTGATGTCGATCTTGTGGAAATGATTATGACATGTAAACCCCGAGCTCAGTTACATTTTGTCAAATCCCAAATCGAACCAGATTCAAGATGCGATCCACTCAAGTACATATTAGGAAGTGAAAGAAGAAAGTCCAGCTAATGTTTCCTTTCATTTTTGGCAAAGTGGAGCAGCAGATGTAGAAAAACTGTGGTTTACATTTACATTGCGTGGTGGCAAACATCCCGTCTCCTTCCATATCACAAAGAAGATTATACGAGTGAAAGGAAATGACGGCAATGTATGGAGGCGTCCCGAATATTGCAGTTTTTTTGGGCACCAACCAAACTAAATGTTGTGGTGAATTCTGCGCCAATGATGAAAATGTTTCCAAAAGAGGTTTCATCCGGTCGTGGGAGAAGCCGTACTCTGTCAGCTCTCTCATATTCATTGCTGTTCTCATGCACATACAAGAGGACAGCAGTCGAAAAAAGCAGTACAAGAGCAGAACATGGAAATGTCATGCTTCAATGTTTACCAACACTCGAGCGTCTCTTAGATTCGCTTCTTGATAAAGATTCACTGCTATTATCTCCGTCTCCCTGTAGGTTATTCACCCATTAGTTACTGTCCTTCTGGCTGACGTCATGTCACATAGTCCAATTATGTATAATTTGTGAGTGCATATGTAATTGCGACAATTACTTTACTGCAAAGAATGCACGGGGAAAATGAGATAGCTCCCACTTTGCAAGAATTGTAGAACGGAAGTAACATTTTCAATGTGAAAATATAAAAATAAAAAAAATTGAGAGATTGTGCACAACAACTGATACGAAATGTGCATAATGGTGGTGACAGAATATGATGCGAACTCAAATTCCCATAATAAGGTAATATTTATGTACAGAGAAAGCTACACGTATGCATAAAAGCTGTCAGTTCCTATAGACAGCGTTTTTCTTTTTAAAAATGGTAAATGGACTGAATTGAGAATCAAATCAACGGAGGAACCACCTTAGTGCAAAATTTTTTGCTCCATAAAGACCCAATAACTTGGCATGAAAATGACATTTAAGTGTCTACAACTTTATCACAATCCTTTTTTAATGGAATCCTGGGAAGATGAAGGGAGGTGAATGATTGAATCAGTTTTCAACTAGAACACGCCTGACAGTGCAGGTTACTCAATCTTATCAATGTTAATATAATAACGTTACCCACATAGAATCGATACTTCTAATAGATTGATAGGAGCATGGCTGAACCCTTTTCCATCTTCCCTGCAGAAATCATCTCATCTTTTTTATAGCTGTGTGAAAAAAATTTTTACCATATTTTTGAGTTTGTGCCAGTAGGCGAGTTGAAAGACATAGTTCTGAGTTCCTTGATGGCTTAAGTAAACCCAAATCTTCCAGAAGATGCGTTGTGTTTGATGAATAATAAGATGATGATAAGGCTTGTTTGAATTCAATTTCAATTCAGGGTTCCCATATACATAAATCAATTTATTCAACTCAGATAATCTGTTACGAAATAAAACAACTAGTCGAAATCGCAAACACTATTTAGATCACCGCAAAGGGTGCTACATAGTTACATAAGTGAGTCACACATTACGTAAATATTTCTCCGACATTAAACACAACAATAATACTGTAGCATATATATTATATATCTCGAAGTGCGACATGACTTTTTTAATTTGGTAGTGCTGAGAATCAATCAACTGTATGATGCATCACGTGGACTATGCTACACAAGTATCACAATCATCCTCTGGGGACTAACTACGTATTTGGTAGATCAATTGCCTATTTCCTATGGTTCAGTCCATATCCCATAACATTAAAAATATTGTTGGACAATGTAAAAAATAACTTCGTATACACTTATAAAACGACTAATTGGTTTATATTTCTAGATTGTACAACTGCTCCCGTAACGAGTTACGGCAATAACAATACGAAATATTTCATAAATTATCTCAAAGCGTCTCAAATAATCTTAATCTAAATAATCAGATCCACAATTAATGGAGTAAATACAATTGGAAAGTCCTCAGCCACAACATTCGAATACATTATTATATTAGGAAATTACAGGGGTTTCTTGGATTGTACTTTACGATTCTATCATATTTATATAATTCGTCAATTAATTTCCAACCTTTCTGAATAAACTCTAATGCTGGGGTGATACAATAAATGGATAAATTTTCTAAGTATAAGTCTCGGATAATTTCTTTGGTTTTTGATAAATACTCGTTCAAGTCATGTCATCTTGAGTGAGTTACCCCAAATTTTTTAATTGAAAGCAGATTTTTAGAGCTTTGGTCATATGAGAATTGTTGTCTTCTTATTGGCGTGGACCCGAAGGAGATGAAACCCTGCGATCAACATGTTTGCCATTTTGCCCATTTCCGTTTGAACTAACATGACGGTTGTTGTAGTTGTGGAGAATTGGAATAGTTTTATTTCGCTCCCGGTAAGGATTCCGCAAATGTTTGGGTCTCTCACCGCCGGACAAATCCACGAGCATTGTTCCGTTTCCCGTAATTCCGTTCGACGTTGTAATACAAGTATGATTTGCCATGCTTGCCAAACTCATCTCTTCGAATTCTCCGCCTGATCCACGTGTGCAAAATAACAAGAAATGAAATTCAGCAAATGTAATAAACACAACAACCGACTGCGTAATATACAATATACGTAAAATATTCCGAGGAGAACCTCTGGTGAAAGTTATTTTCGTTCATGCAGAAGAAAGTGAAGACTACATACGTATGACTGACACATGTATTATGATAATTGGCAGGCGTCACCAGAGTAAAAAACATCTTAAACATGACGGATGACTTACTACGTATATAAAAGTTAGCAACAACCAACGTAGGCAAACATACATATTTGATCATAACAAACTTGAACTTTTGCGATTTTGTCAAGGATCATAAAATCTGAAAATTGATGAATACTCTTTAAGAACTCTTGTCACCGAAGTCGTCCATATTTTCACTTTCACCAAAGGTTCCCACTGCTTGAATTAATGTAATATTTCTTTGCAAGTTTACATTAAAAATGTGTAAATGCAAATCACATGCCATGTCCAAATCTGTGCAAATCTGTGTTGGATTGCATGCGAATAATGCTTGGTTTTCTTCGCTGTCCGGGAGGTAAGTCAATGAGAAATACCTGAACTTGCTTCATGTCTTTGGTTGTTGGTTCAAAACCCATGCAATCAAAAAATAAAGAAAGAAACGACTCATTCCAATCTGAATACATTTCTACAATTACGAGTTAAAATTTAATCGTCAATTAGTCGTAAACTCACAACTACGTAGTATCAAACGTCTATCATTATTATTTTATTATGGAGAATCGAATCAGCGGAATTTGGGTTAACTTTATCTAATCTACTTTCACAACTTTCCATACTGTTAACTTTAATGGTGTCTAAAAGCAATTGCGTAAAAGGAATGCTGCTACATATAGTACATCTCGCATTACATGAAACTTGCTAGAAAAAGTTAGTTTAATGAGATGGGCAGAAAGTAAGTATACCGTGTTGACTGCGATAGTACTGGGATTTTCTGTAGAACCCATTCGACCCTTGCTTTCCTTTCACTCGGCACCACATGAAATCTCGACATAGACGAATCAGCAGTCGACGGAACCGTTCTCCACAGGTGCAATAAATTACGAAATTGACGGACGAGTTAAAAATGACCAGAAAGTTGGAAAGTGCGATCAACTTTTCCACTTCAACTGCGGACAAATACAATACGAAAGCGTACATTAGAATAGATCAGTGTTATTACATAAACAAGTCACATTGCTACAATATTAACCAAAATTGATGTCAAGTTTACTCGTCTTACCATTCCAGATTGATTCGAGTATGTTATTAACAAGGGGCAAGATGTTACACATAAGAAAAACCACCACGACAATCAACAGCATAGAGGCCAACCCCATTTCCCTCTTCTGTAATTTTGACAATTGGGCCTAAATACATAGAAATTCAATTTATTTTAATGCTTATGACCAGGGTCTAAATTTAAGTTTTTGGGAACATGAAATAAATAAATCTGCACTCACTCTCTCCCGATTCGCCTTTCGTACCTGGTAGAATTGGATGGAGAAAGTAGAAACAGAAACCAGTTAGATTACATAGACTGAATGTGATCACACATCGGTAATTTTCAGTAATAAGGGTTGAGGTTAAGGCATTTAAAGTTAGGTTAGGTTAGCCTTACATGTCTACTCGACTATGTACATCGGGGGTAAATGACTTGTGAATCATGGTGCATTATGAAGCTGGCATTTTATAATAAACAAGCATTTACATGTCACATCATCAGCCAAGAATAATAAAATATATAACACGTGAACAAAGCCATCGTAGAAATAGAATAATCAGAATTTAGTATAATCCAGTGCGATAGGTGTGCTCTTTATAGCTGGAGAAGGAAAGAAATCTTGAAAAATTGTGCTTTTGTGTGGTTCGTTCAGTCTCTTGAGGGCATTTCTTTATCTCAGCCTCGATCCCACAATTGGATGATTCCCCTCGAGCTATGTACATGCATGCAACAACACCTCGGTTCGAAACAAAAACCCGCTCTGTTGACGCCATTGTCTTTCAAATCATTTTTTAAGATATGTCAGTTTAACGAAGAGTTCCCCTACATAGATGCGCTTGTACGGTCGTGAACACCTAAATGAATGGCATGCAAAAATATCACATGCCAGGGTGAATTTATTGCATGTCAATTTTGCAATGCCACTCACTGCATGTCTCATCAACATTTTTTTCTGAATAGTGAGGAAAATGGGCACGAAAGAAAGGAACAGGGCAAGAGTCGTGTTGGTTATGATCAATTCTAACCAGAAAAGGAAGTGTTTAATCATTTGGAGTAGAGAGAAAGCTGCTGCGTGTTGGTGTGATATATTTATGAATGCATGCAAACGTTCGGTTGGGTCAGGGTGCATCAGAGTGGTGTTCCCACTCTAGTGAAGTCATAAACTCAAAATTGTGGTTACATTCTACAGATCGGGGCGAATAGATGTGGTCTATTTTGCTTTCACCCCTTTCTCTCTCAATGCTAATTTTGAGTTAAATAAGTCCATCCTCTTATTCAAAGTTGTTCAATTGTGAGGTTCCAAGCTACGTAACCAGTTCTGCTTACACAAACCGAAACTTTTATATGTGTGTATAAAAAAACTCATTGATTTGGGAATTTGTTTCATAAAAGCGAATTGGCAATGAATCTCCTCAACCTACGCGTCTGAACTCGAATTTTTTGATGCTTCGCTGCTTACGAATATACACATACAGCAATTTCAGCTAGAGAAAAGATTCGCTGAATATAAAATAGTCTGAAAATAGCATTTTGCATATGTCAGTTATTACAAATGCTGTACTGACTTTACTGACGAGACGAAGTTGTATTTCCTAAGCTAAAACTGGATCCTGGGATTCAAAATAAGATATACACAGCGCAGGAGGCATGCAAACGACAGCAGTTGGGTTCAGATATCTGTTTCATTAAACAAAAGAGGATGCTATTCAATCAGATCAACTGAAGAATGCAATAAAAGAAAACGCTCTTATGGGATGACGCCCGCATGCAGCACTTGATACGGGTTCAAAAGATAAACAAAACCTAACTAACTACACAATTGCAAAATTCGACACAAAATAAGCGACGCATCCCTCTTTCTCTTAGGGCTGCATATTGTTATTTTTCTGGATGGGGGTCGAAACGTGGCTGGATGTGTCTCTTACTTATCATAGGAATCCCACCTATTTATTTAGATCTGGGAAATCTGTATGCGTCAACTTCCCATCGTTAACGGGGCAGACAGGCTGCGTCTGCTTTTATCCAACGCACTCCGAGATTAATGGGTTATAAAACGACGTGCGTTTTACTCCCACTCGTGGATGGAGAATGCTTCGAGTAGTCAATGTTTATTCGACCATGGCCCCGTGCAAGAGCAAGGACTTCAATAAGAATGCCAACTTTTTTAGCGTACCGATAAGAAGTTATAGAAGAATCACATGAAACTTGTAAAAAAACTTGCACTGACTTTGACATAAAATTATGATAATACTTCTTGTGTTTTTTTTATAGTCCAAAAAATATGAAGTGTAGGCAGGTTCTGATTCGTCCCTATTTTACAGAGTTGCCATTGTTTTGCTTTCCTCAAAGTCTCAGATTACGCATTTCTTTTCGTACATATCTGTCCATGGGTGGTCCCACGCGTCAGAGTTGAGCATCGTAATTTCGTTGCCTTCGTTTTTTCCTAAATAATTTTGACTCTGCTTTCACTTTCTTCCGCTGATGTCGGAGTAGATATTTAGAGAGACATATGGAACTGGGGCAGTGGGAGGATGGTGGGAGGAAACGACAAAGAGTGCAATTCAATATTCTAGGTTTCTGAGATGTCTTCTGCCGAACCATCTGTCCATCTGTAGTACGAGTTCTCTCTCTTTCTCTGCCTGGAGTCGAGTGGCCATAAAATTGATTATTATTCTGGTGCGTGTTCAGGACGACCATATAGCAAACCAAGAACAACGGAACCACTTGGGCTTCTTGTTACATTTCATTATTGTAACTTTACACTTTTCTCTACGCAAACCACGCATTTATTTATGTAGTGAGTGGTGGTGCGGCGGCGGTGGTAGAAAATAGTAGGTCACTCCACGCACTCTTCTTATTATGCAAAAAGCTGGATCAATCAGGGATGACATAAGTTTTGTTTGAAAGAGAGACAATGCGGATTAAGGGTAATCTCAGAATTTGCTGGTAATGTATTGCAATTTATGTGTTTATTGTTCAGTGCCAGTCTTTCTCCCCGTGCATTTATTTCCATTCCCTTCCTCACAACCTCCTCACCAGATTATAGAAGATCAGCCATATTCACATTTCAGCCAATTTACTTTTTATTTATTTCTGACTTTTTTGTGTGTTTCTCTCTTTGAATGCACGCTGCCGTATTATTGTGAGTGAAGCAGATAAAGTATATTCCTTAATCTCGTCGTCTGTTGCTTGAATCTAGGACAAACTCAAATATAAAAATCCCAGAAAATTGGAAAGTAAAAATAAAGTCAGCTGAAGGTTTATTCTGCTTTCCTTTTACTTATTCTTGTTTTTACATCTAAAGACCTCAACCACTTGCGGCTACTAAGAATGAGACGATGACGGAGAAAGTAAAATGGAAACTTTGTGTGTGGCTGTTGAGTAGATTTTGATTACCTGAAGGTGGATAAAGAAGAAGAAGCAAAGCATTATTGTCGATGTGATTGATGGATAAATGAGAAAGGTGCAGACATGCAATACCCACCAAACATCAATTGAAGACACACAAGCACATACAGAGAGAGAAAGTTAAAGAGTTGTTAAAAAGCACCCGCAAGCTTCTTACCATGCTGTTATTTACCTGGCGATAAATGCAGAAATTGAAGACGACCAGTCCAGAGAATGGAATCAAGTACATGATGATACAATATGCCCAGTTGATGTAAAATTTGATGTAATACTGAAAAAATATATAATGTATTATTTAAATGTCGATTAAAATATCGATATTAAATGTAATACAATAAGATTAACGCATGTAATGCTGTAGAATAATAAATTATCAGCGTTTACCTCATTTCCTCGCAGCTCGGACATTTCGTTCATATACGTGGTCACATTGGTCCTCATTCTTGCGCATTCGTCTGGGACGGTGATTACTTCGAACCAACGAGGCTGCAAAAATTTATTATTCGGATTTTTAGGAATTTATTTAGCTATCTAATTTATTTAGCTAATCCATTTCAGTTGGAAATTACTAAGGTTAGGATTTTACCAGATTGTAGGTGATGGAGAAAGTCAGCACCGCAACGACGCACATTCTAGCTCGCCGCCACGTGCAGATCGACCTATTATTGATATTGTTATTCCATTGTTTTTAAATATCTAATGCATCGCAGTATTTATTACATCGTATTTTAAAAGCATAAAGGGCTGATAAATTTGAGATGCAAGTATTTATTACCTCGCTTGCAAGCTATGACAGACTGCGATGTATCTTTCAATCGTAACTGCAACTGTCAGATAAACTGAAGCGGTTTGGGCTGGAAACACACAAAGGATACAATTTATTTGTAACATGTAGGCTCCCAAGTATAGCCAAAGGGCGATAAATAAATCCAACTTGAATAAATAAATCCGAAAATACTTATTATATGCAAATAAATAAATATGTACATAAGTAGAAACATTTTCCTTTAAGTGAAACACAAACTTGGCGTAATCCAAGTATGGCACAGTTTAGAATTACTATCATATTTTCCGAATTTATTTGAAAACAGAAAGGATAGTATTTCATGTATTATAGCGAAATAAATCCACACAAAGCTGTGAATGTTACAAAAATAGACGTGAGAAATGATGTACCGGTGATGCTGGTAGCATACAGCCACGGAGCGACGATTGGGTAATATAAATAGTAGTACTGGAGTAGAAAGGGTGATTTAATGTAGATGGACATGTAGGGCATACTATATACAAAGATTGATATGGAAATCAGAAGAGTATCGCAGAAAGTGAGACCCAGTAGCAAGCATGTCACCGAGGACCTGGAAACATACAATTTGAAACATTGATGATTGTTCTCTGGTTATGAATTTGCATACTCATATCAGATCAACACTAAATTAATAATTTGTGACCTTACTTCATTTGTGGTCGACTCAACACCACAGCGCTCAGTCCGTTGCCGATAATTCCTGAAATTCATGAATCCAAGTCGAGTAATCAGGGTAATAATTCAGGAGAGACAACATAATAAATTATTCCCTATCATAGTGAAATTACTTATTGCATAAGTAGTCTATTTTATATACTAATATTAAATCACATGCAAAATTTACGCCAATTATACATATCTGCATTTTGGTTTAAAAGTCATAAGAAAAAGAATCAGAAGCAATGGAACACTTTTTGCTTACCAAGAATCGCAACGACACTGATTCCAATACCCAACACAATGAAACGAAAAAGATCTCCGCCTTCTAAACTTGCATCTGAACTGTCGGGACATGTTATGGAGTGAGAATCGTTCAATCGGATGCTAAAGTTGCCGTCTTCTTCCATCCAGTCCGGGTGAAGAATCAAACTGCAGTTATTGGAGCCGAATTCAAGCTCATGACCCTGAGAACAATTTGCGTACTGAAGCAGATCAATTTCGTCCTGTTGCTCACCCTCCATGGCGAATATCTATTTTGTGCAAAAGAGAAAACGAGAAGTTATTAGTGGATGATAATTTGGAATTTAGAATGGGAGTGACATATTGCACGCTTGATTATGCATACACGTGTTAACTAGATATATGCAGATCAATTATATAGGTTACACATATCAGTTAACTAATTATTCCCACAAATCATCGCAACGAACCTTGAATGAATCACATAAAAGTTTCAAAAAAAATATGCATTTGGCCAGCTCGTGCAACTAATTAATTCTAAATAAATTAGTGGTTCTACGGTAGTGCATGCATGTTAAATCGATGATATGACCTTATTGGTATCTCTCACTTTTATTTTATAACAGAAACGATGAAAATATCCATTACTGTAGGACAGGAAATGTATTGCAGTGTCACGCTGCATCAATTTTTATTAACAGGTGGCTTCCTTTCACATTGAACCATCTACTTTCTACTTTCTCCCACTATACGTTAGTAACTTGTGCAGCATACTTATGCAAGATATGGAGCTTACAATAACCTAAATGCAAAGCCTTTGGGGATACTCAAAGTCTCAAAAAGAAAAAGTGGAGATCCGGAGCGAATTTTTTGGAATGAAATTAATTCCCAGCCAGCTCTGGGACGACGACTTCACCTGCAGTACTTTCCCACCGCCACCACGTGTGGTCCATTACTTGGATTTCTACATGGAGGCAGCAGAGTAAAAACATAACGGATCACGTAGCAATTAGCCATCCGTCTCGCTCTGTTTTCTCCGAGCTAATTGGCTAATTCTGGCAGGTTAAACGCACTTTATGGCAATTACGTACACATGTGTACGCACAAAACCACAGCCTCGCCGATATCTATATATACTTTGGAAGCCAAACGATATGAAGATATTCATAGGACGATATTTATATCTTATACATTAAAAGGAAGGGCTTGATTAAACGTCGGCCATAATTTCCTGTCAACGTTTAATCACTGTTATTTGAGACTCTGGTCTTCTCATCTTCCTCACACGTGGAACAGAACTATGAGCGCGTCAGTATTTCTGGTGATGATATTCCATATCTGCTTTAGCGATCCGTGAGTTGATGTGTCATGGATGTGAAGTGGTCATGCAGACAAACGACATACGGAAGAATTCGAGTGGACTAGACTTTCACCAGCAGGAATGTGGACGGGCAATTGCTTTGGAAGGAAGGAACTCTAAATTATTCTTTTAGGTGGACTCCAAGGCTGAAATCTGATCATCCCACCATCAAGGAGAACGCAATTTCCTTCGAAGTGGGCAAAATATCACACCGCACCGTCCACATTGCCCAACGCTGATTTCATATTGTTCTTAGCAAGATCACTATTGTAGAATTCCGTCCAAGAATTTATGGGGATGTAAACTTTTATCTCAGTTGTATTTCAAGTCGGACAGTTTAGTTAAGAGAGAGAAAAAGGGTGATCCACCCGAAATGGTAATAACAACTGTCAACTTCGCTTGTGGAACTCCATTCTTCTCCATTCGAGAAAGTTGTCTGGCAAGTGCAAATAGAAGTTGAAAGATTGAGCATGCATTGAAATTCGAGCTTTGAGATCTAATGGACAATTCCTGTCGATTTTCTCTACACGCTCATTCTCGCCTTCGGGTTGTACATGTTCTGTGCCTTACATCGTCACTCTCCAGGGTTAGATTGCAGCACTAAACGGAATTGTTCAAGGGCACTGAAAAATTGCTTCTTCTTTACAGTAAAATCGTTCAGATTGTGTTAACCTGCATTAAATGATGCTCTTCCGTCAAGGTTCAAACCAAATCCTTCAAAATGTGTGAAATTCCATTGACATTGTACTTTAGTCGTCCGTACCCGATCCGCTTTTATATCTGAAATATCGCCCTACAGCGATAAAGCTTTCTCTTGGCAATTTCTAGCAACCAAATTGAAACCTTGTGTTCAGTGGTAGTTAATTCTGCAGTGGGAGTAAGAGCACTCTCTTTTGTCGTCAGATCATTAGTATTAAAGGGATTCGGCACCCCACATTTAACAATGGACGTGTACATACATAAGTACGTCAGGAAAGCAGTGGCATGTTGACCAAGAAGGAGCTAGAAAATGTTCTGGACATCAGCATCTGTGTCGTATTTTTCCATCGATTCTTTTCATGAATGAATTGCCTTCCATAAAATTAGTTTCCTTTTTGATGTAGACAAGTTGGAGACGCCTTCGTTCCTTCAAATGACGGAGGACTATCATTACTCTCGTCACTTAAACCGCTGTATCCTACCGCTGGCAGTATCAATCTCATTCCCTCCGGTGCAGCAAAACCAACAGCAGAGCTCAATCGTTTTCCAATAAATGTTTGCCTAGTCTTCATGCATGTCCACAAACTAAAAGAAACAGTGAGGGAACAAGCTCTTTCAGTTAAAAGAGAGTCACATCCAAGGGCAGTAAGGCCAGGCCACTGGATGTCTGTGAAGAAAGTTGTGCAAGGCCACAAAGATATTTATACTTTTACAAATATAAAACCAAGTGCACGGACTTGCTAAGGCCCGAGTCAGCGCGTACCACTGTTCAGAGAACCCACTGTGTGCACCAAATTACAAGCGAGGATGGGATATACTTGTTTTAAATGAGATATATGTAGCAGTGCAAACAGACTGACGGACGGACGGACATGACGGCTCCATGCAAGCTCTGACTCGAGCTAAAAATGTGCGACGGATTCAGATTTTAATCCTACCAGCATCTCACCAGATGATATCGATAGCCAAAAAGATGTTGGTGCACGAATACTTATTCTCTCGATAATGTGACATTATTTTCCACAAACAACCTTCATGCCTTCCCCGAATATATATGTCCCAAGTTTACCCCAGTCAGTCCTGCCTTAACACTTTCACTTCGCAGGCAATAAACACCAAGCTCTGTCAAACCAACAGAAAAAGAATTAGCTCGGAAAATATAGAATGGTGAACGCAACAAACGACTTGTTTTTCTGCTTTTTCAATAACCATCATAAGTCTGCTTGTCATACACATTCTGAAAGTAGCGTATCCATCTAACATCCACTCTTCCTCTTTCTCAAGCCCTAACAAAGGTCATGAGATTTAACAACAGGAAATGGGTTCTGTGAGGCACGTGTTGAGTCCAATGGTTTGCTGGCAGGACCACACGGACTCCGAATGGCTGACTATAAACACACTTCACTTTTCTACTTTGTCCGATTTTCGGGAAATAAATGGGGGCCTCAAACCCTCAATAAATGGAACACAAAGAGAGGGAGGAAGTTGGAGAAGAAATTTTTATGAGACACATATAATTCTTGTCAAAATCAGTGGCACTTTTGTGAAAATGGGGCGGATGAACAGTGTCCATTTCTAGTTCAACCACCATGATCACCACGACCATAGCCTATTATTTGTTGATATATACCACAAACCAGGGTCGATCACTAGTTTCGAACTTAAATAAATTTTGAAAGTAGAAAAAGATGAAAATAAAACGGCGTTTAAAGTAAACTCTCAGTCTATATCGAACCTAAAATTCCCATATTTTCCCAACATTCGCATTTTATGGACCCAATAAAGGCCTGCTCCTGACCGGGCTACGCACCAGTTACACGCAGCCATCAAGTGCGATGACCACAAGAGGAGCACATTCCATCGGGAGAAAGGAGCGAGTGGCGTAAATTCATCTCGGCAATAAAGACTAAACGCGCTCAAGACCCGTGTCGGAAGTTCAACCATTCCATCCACGCTGCGTAAAAAGTGTGTTGGAGGCAGGGATGAGGCAATAACGTAATGTGAAATGAAATGCTGAATGTCTGCGAACTTTCTGGGCCAAGGCAACTTTCACGCACTTTCTCCACTCCAGTAGTTCAGTCCACTCCAGCAGAAAGAGCAACAGACTACTACGAAAACAAAATCATGTCTCACTAAAAACTTTGGCTCCCATTTACTTTACATGCCAGATTCATACAGTTTGTACTTTTTTGCCTTTTGTGATGTGAAACCATGCAGCACAAGAAGGGGATTCATTAATTTTAAGATGTTGTCGTCTATCCAGGAAAAACACTATGCGAATTGAGATAACGAATGTATTCATGCACAGTATGTGCTCACATATTGAGACAACTGAAGCATGGGGAACAACCATTGCTTTCTCCAAATCTTGAATTTAGTAGGACGTTTATTTTGCCTGCCTGCACTTCTAGGTTTTGCGACCTGCACATGGTGGGTTTGAATCCCAACTACACACTTATATACACACACATATGTGTTCATGGAAGATTGGACTGGAGATATTTCCTCCCAAGATCCAGGCAAGGCTTTGTTGCAAACAGTTTCCAGGTTTGTGGACCTACTCATGCCAATTAAAGGTCGTTGTTTGATACAAATCAATTCCGGAGTGAGAAGAAGCAGAGCAGTAATTGTGTTTGGGATGGTACCCTCAGTTAATTGGCGGACCATAACTGGAGTGTGGGTCTGAACGACGATAGTAAAAGACAGAAAACCTAATAAAACGGTACCAATCGAGTATTTTGGTGGTGACTTTACCCCTTCTTGAGTTAATTTGGAGCAGCAACAGCGAGTTGGTTAAACTTAAATCCTTTTCGTCCAAAAAGGATTAAGAGCAAAAACTATGCCGGACATGTTCCCTTTTATTCTGGAGAAGGAAAAAATCCTTTTGTTCTGCACACCAGCGAGCCCAACAATCCGCTCAACTTACTTTATGCTGTTATTTTTGTTTCTTGTTTTGGCGAAGATTCATCAAACTCGTCTGTTACAATGTTATTCAGCGATAAGAAGTGAGTAATATTACTTTTGTCATATGCCCAACCAAAAACTTATTACTATTTCTTCCTAGGAAGACGGAGTAATTTTTTGCATGTTCAAAAATGTTTTAAATCAGGCAAAGAATGCTATAGAACGTACATCGTAGGATTTGTTTCGTTTGGTGCTTTTCTTCATATATCTCACTCACAGTCTCACTAAGCTATTTTATGGTAAACTAAAATGTGTAATGCCAACCTTTGGTCAGTGGAGCCATCCAACTCAAATGTTTTCGGGAAATCATTGGCAAAATCTAGGGAAATCGGTAAAAGTGAACTCATAGAAGGATCGATGAAAGACTGACTATGCACATATTCTGAGATTGGTGGATGACTGACTAAGTAAAATGAAACGAGGGTAACGATCTTGACAGTCAGTCAACTCCTCCCTTCGGAATTGAAATTCCAAAAGTGATCATTTGCTCCCACGTACACATAGCCACGCATTTGCTTAGCTTGTAGAAAAGGAAAGTACTGTGCGTAACTAGTTCAGACTCGAAAAGATACTTTTACCTTAGCAGCTATTAAGGACAACAATCGACGTCAACCGCATGGAACCCGATACTTGGTAGCAGATTTCCACGTGTTTGCAATTATATACCTGATTATTCTCATGCATTCAATTCCTAACCAAATTTTTGATGGTGTATGATGCGAATACGCGTAGAGTAGGATGCAAAACAGTTGACAAATGCAAACACTTCTTTGTCATTGTCTAACTCGTAGAATTTCAAATTATTTTACAGGACACAGATGATTATGCAGACATATATTACACTGCACAGGCGTTTATATGTGAAAGATATAAATTTGACTGGCGCCGTAAACACGTTCATAACTTATGTACGAACTATACGGCATGATATTACATACTCCTACTAAATACTCAATTAAAGTGGACAAATTTCCGTCCTGCTTTCATTAAAAAACCATAACATAAAAAGGAAGTTAGGGATTTAGTTGTACATACAGTTAGTTAGTGTGCACATGGTCACTCTGAAAGGAGTACGGAAGGAATGACAACAAATGAAACAGATTTGTTGCTAATGCTGGAAACAACCACTGTTAAGAGGAGCCTGACAGTCACAAGTAACTGTTTGAGGGTGTTTTTCTGCAAACAAACTGCGAGTATGTATCATGTAAGTAATCTGGACCCAATTCAAGACATTGCACGGCCAAGTAATAGTGGACTGTTGCTTTTGGAGCTCATTTGTCCTTCCCAACCTCATAACAGACTAGAACATGGCTTGCAATGAATGAATATCTGTCCCACATGCTCACTTTATGATAAGAGCGGATTTAGCTCTTGGCTTTTCAAATGCGCTCCAACGACTCTCATCTTTACGATCAAAGGACGAGACAAGAAGGCAAATCTTCGTCGTTTCTTTTCACTCTGAATTCTAGGACCAACTCGTGTGTATACTTTATTTATGGAGACATATATCCAGAACTTGCACAGAAAGTAGCATTTTTTGAAATGCTCGTGTTATGCATGCAGATACGGAGAAAACAAACAATGTTTCTAAATTACAACATTCAAAGAAACAACTTACGAAAGAGAAACATTTTTTTTTGTGAATATCACTTTTATAAGACATCCAACACCCAAACGAATTAGCCTCCTAATTGTTGGTCAAACAAAATAAAAGTATGCAATGTTAACTTTTACTTTTGTAAGAACATGCGGGGCTAAATATTTATGCTTACCTCGTAGTTTAATTCTAAGCTAAATGGGCCATTCTTATAAATTTTCTACCAAACACATAACCGTTTTATGCATGTAACAGATCTGTGCCAAACTGCACTACTAAGTAGTCGAACTTAACCAGTTTTCCTGAAAAAAATGACCAAACTATCATTTTCACTATAAATATACATATGTATACACTTTCCAACTTATGCTATTTAGTTTTTTTTTTATTTTTCATTTTCGGTAAACTACTAAATTCATCCGTCCCTATTTTGTGGACGTTAGCCAGAAGAAATACTTGCATCGTTCAGTAGCCAAAAAGTTTTCCCTTGTCCTATCCCAAGAATCTGGTGAAAGTTGATCAAATGTGAACAAATATGTAGGTAGCTGCCATATTCAAGATGCGGATGTTGAGAGCGTGAGATTGTCGCCAAGTGCCAAGCACTATTATACGACGTCTGGACAGAACATAACCCAGAACCCCGTGACCCAGTCCAATAAAGTGAAAGCAAGCGAATAGATGGGCAAGTTTTCAAAGGGTGCAGCAGCAATAATGGGTCGGATCCTGAAAGGGATAAATAAATCTGGTGGTGAAAAGGCGTAAGTACAGGATGTGATGGTTGGACGGAGTGGGAGGACCATGCTCGTCGTCGTCGTGTTTCTTAATGGGCGAAATACTAGACATTCTCATCCACTGATGTTACCAGCAAGATTTTTTCACACATGCTCTATTAATCTGCGTGCAACAGTGGAACATTTCATTGTTCACCATTTATAGCTGCTTCGTTGCCTACCAGAATTTCAATTCAAGAGCAATGTGCAAATTGAGCAGAAGTATTCCAACAAATCAGAAGAGAAAGTGGCAATAATATAGTGGATTTATTCTCCCGGACGTAATTGGATCAGCCAGGTACGTGGGGCTAAAACCTGCCGAATACAGAGAAATGAAACAAAAAACTATCAAATTTTACAACAATTTTCAACTATGTACAAAAGTCTGATGTAATAATGAAGAGACGAGCACTCTGAAGTTCAAATAATCCTTTGTAAATCAGGTTTTATGTAAAGAAATACTATACTTTACATAAGAGATACTTATGTAAAGAAAAAGTCACACCACATCAACAAAATGTCAGTATCAAGCAGCTGCTTTCAGATTTACAATCCTGAAAATAATAATGCTTCATATTTCATAGCCTAAGGTTATAAAAGTTCCCAGGCGTCAAAACCAACCTGTCGCCGTCGAGTTCCAAATCTCGACAACTTATTTCGTTCGTGTAGTGCATCATGCTCAACAAAAATTCGTAGTAAAGTGAGAAAGTTTAATTACGGTGTGTAAACACGTGTGAAGGTCGTGCTCGTCGTCTCAAACAATGTGTCGGATGTCATTTGTAGTTGAAATGAACCATTAGCTAAATACACATTGGTCAACAAGCTCGTTACGAATTGCATCAATTACATGAATTGCATACTCTATTCCAAGTTACATAACAGAACTGGCAATAAATAATTAATAACATGAACATAAAAATATGACCATACTCTTTTACATAGGAAAAATTTGGTTGCTCGTTCAATTTTTTTTGTTTTGCATTTATTTGACATTGAATATCGGAAAAATGTAAGTGCTTCTCCGGTGTCAGTCATTAAAAGAGCAGTAAAGTCTCAATCGTGGTGCGCAAACACGCCCTTACAAGAATACGGCTTCTGTGGGAGACAAAGGATAAATACGTCGACGTTGCAACTTGCAACTTGCAAGTATACACAGCTTAGGAGGGGAGCTTGCGAGGTTGATAATAACAGATCTTGATGCCCTTTGGATATGTGGTAGGGACCCATGAGTGTACTAAAACCCTGAATTGGTTTGACTCCATGGCCACATTTACGCCCGCCACACCCACTCAAAAATGCCCAAAAAACGCTTTCACTCCAGTTTTCACTCACTCAAATCCACGCCAAAAATCCAATTTTACTCGGATTTTGAAATTTCTTTCACCAATATACTCCCAGATAGTTTCTTTCTTCAATCCAATATCAAACTCAATTTTTTCGAAATTTTTAGTATTTTTAAAATTTAAATTTCTGAATGAGCATTGTTGTAGCAATCAACAAGGCAAATTATGCCTGCGAAATAATAATCAGCAAAATTGAGTTTGATATTGGATTGAAGAAAGCAACTATCTGGGAGTATAATGGTGAAAGAAATTTCAAAATCCGAGTAAAATTGGATTTTTGACGTGGATTTGAGTGAGTGAAAACTCGAGTGAAAGCGTTTTTTGGGCATTTTTGAGTGGGTGTGGCGGGCGCAAATGTGGCCATGGAGTCAAACCACTTCAGGGTTATAGTACACTCATGGGTCCCTACCACATATCCAAAGGGCATCAAGATCTGTTATTATCAACCTCGCAAGCTCCCCTCCTTAGTTAAAAGGAAGTTTAGGGTTGAGATCGCCAAGAGGCATGTCGGATAGTGGCTGGTTGTGATAGAGAGTTAATCATTCTGTTGCTTGAGACAAGAGACGACGAGGACTTTCAAGACTTCAATTTTTAATCAAGTTTTCGGTGACATCCAATCATCAAATCCAGTCGAGCAGGCATATCTAGGCACTATTCTGCCACTGCTTCTTGTGCACCCAGTGAAAATTTCTCAAAGACAACAAATAATGAAAGATTTAAACTTAAATACACTGCTCTCGCCATTGTTGTCAGGTAGAAGAGGGCAAAGAGACGACGAGTGCCATGTTCCGTGAGAGGCATTTTTGGGCACATGGGTTGAAATGCATGGTTTCCAAGATGGAAGGGAGAAAGCATAGAAATATCCAGAAGGTAGTTTGTTATCCGCTTGGACCGGAATTCAGCAGATCACAAATTAAGACACAATCCATCTCAATCTCAACATAAAAGAATAAAAGTTCTCATCAAGTTTGCACAAATTGGATTTTTACTCTTCTTCTTGTCTCGTCAGTCCATTACAACTGGGTCGCGACGATGTTTGTATAGTACGAGTACCAGAGCCCATAACCAGTTATCTAAAATTAATTCCACTAATTTGATTGAGTTAGTCTCATCAAATTGTTGTTGGGAAAGCAATTCCAAGATTTCATATTACGGAAAGTGGAAGCTGCAAAATATAGTTATTCACCAAAATAAATTCCTTTTCGACTTCCGCAAAGGTAAGTATGTAAGTAGATGAGCTGGTTGGAAACTTGGAAAGGCATGAAATTAAATGGAATTTTGCATTAATTTGTGTCCAAGGACGGGGAAGATTTTATAATCTCTCATCTACATGCATATATTCTCAGTTTTAACTTTACTCGCCGTCAGATTCTAATATGCCATGCGCCTTATGCATATGTAGCCATATATTATGCCTCCCAATCTATCTATGCTTGATGAATTCGTGGGACATTACGACGGCACAATTTATCGGCAATGTAAAGATTTTCATTGCTTGCTTGCGTAGTGGAGTTAATTCCAAAAGTGGTAATAAACTTCCTTTTACCACGCATTCATTTTCATTCGCGTACCTTGACAATCAGCTATTGGTGGAAACAGGGAGAAAGTGCCCACCAGCAAAGCCAGCTTTTAGTTGTTCAACTGCAGTAAATAAACACTCCCGACAAATTTACATTGAAATTAAAGCCCTTGTCCCTCCTTCCGCCGATGCATACTTAAATGTACTCAAGCTAATTTATTGTGTTGAATTGTCAACAGTTTGGCTGTTGTACTTTGTGATTTTCTGCCATAAATCAACAGCAACAAGATCTTAAAGAGAAAGTTAAACCATGCGGAGTGAGATAGATAGACAGACTACCGCAAAATCTAAGGTCAGCAACCGCCAACACTGTGGTTAACTGTTTCCACACAACCACGTTGATTTCCTTCCGCCATTTGCATTGCAAATTCACCAAATATACGAATGGTGAAAGTCAGCATAGAAAGCAGTTCAATAATGGGGAGGTTAAAAAAACATGAAATTGTGGTTCGCCATTAAGCTCGACCATGAGACGCCAATGTACAGTTTTTAATGCTTATATTAAAAATTGTAGTCGCAGAGTCGTTCGTGGTGGGTTGCATGTTTCTATCCACTCGTCACTACGACTTTTTATCCGCTGGGGAACGTCTTCGTTTTTTTCACTTTCCTCACTCTTGGTGGCATGCATATTATTTTGGTGTGGAAGTGCAATGCTGATATTGATAGCTGGTAGTTTCCTTTCATGGTGGTTTCGAGACGGGGATATAAATAAACCCGACACAAAATTCTGGTGAAATCGACTTGCACTAGAGTGGAATATGCAAGGAAAAATTTCGACAAGGGATTCATACTCCGCATTGAATTCCTCCAAGCGCCGGAAATTCGAAACGAGATTCACGAATGGAAAGGAAATGGTGGAATATTTTTGATTGTGGACAAAAAAAAAACAAATTTCTGAACCTCTTCCAATATCAACCATTGTGTCAGAATGATAGAACCCCAGATTCCATGAAACTCGCTTAGAATAAGTGACCAGAAACCAGGATTGCCATTGCATCGCAGTGTCATCCTGTATTGAGGTCATGCTGTATTTCATTTCGTAGTATTATGTATATGCGAGGTTGCAAGATCTTTACTTACCTTACCCAATAGCATTATAGGCTTTCATAGAATACAAAGAAAGTGGTTTGAACATCAGAAACCATGCTATAGATACAATGTGAGGGGAAAGGAAGACTGCATTTAATGAGAAACACGCCTATTTCAACCATTGGATCGTTGTCTGTTAAGGCCTGTGGCTTTCTTGAGCCAGAATAACGAAACTACTTACAAGTCCAGCACAAATATTTCATTCCAAGCCGTCCTTTCCCTTAGATTTGTAATGACCCACGCCAAATTAGGGTACGCGACGTAGAGGGATGCATTCGTACTGGTGAGATTATAGTAAACGGCACTGAAACCAAAATCCGAATGCAAATTCCAGTGCGATGCAAGAATTTGCAAATAATCATAATAATTAAAATGAGACATTGGGCTCTAGCATGTAAATAGGAGGAAAAGGGGCATTTTGGCATTGGGAAGTTGCCATCATCCATATTAATAATATTACTTGCTCTACTTTACTTTAGCTGTGCATACAATAGTCTTTTTGTTGGCTACAAAAAATAGTTCAAAACAAAAGTCTCGAGCATAGTATAGAAATGTTTGGCTTCTCCATTGCAACTTTTATATCGGGCATCGGCCCATGAAAATCTTAATATTACAATAGCGCAAATAGTACAAATCTACAATCACAAATTTCATGTAATAGTCTGTTGGAAGTCTCACGAAAATATAGATATAGGAGAAAGGTGCGCAGGTGAGGTGATAAATTCATGAGTAAGAATGTTTCATAAAAGCACTGTTGCATAGACTGATTTCTCCAACTGTTCCTTCTTAACTCATTAATTCCAACAATCCTTCTAATTAACACGTCCAGAAGCTTGGACAAGAAACATAATTAGAAAGCCTTTCTTGACAAAGACATCTATTTATCAACGTCCCACACACCGATTCACACCATATGCAAAAAAATCTTTGCGGTAAACTGATCTCTCTGACATAAACCAACATTCGTATTGGGGTCAAATGGGAATTGTT